TCTCTCTCTCTCTGTCTCTCTCTCTCTCTCACACACACATTCACGCGCGCGCACTCACGGTAATAGGCTTTCATAACGCAAACACGTCATACCACTTCTTAAATGTTAGCTTCTCTGTTTCTATTCTTCTCTCACGCAATTAAGCAAATAAAAATGACTACCTCTATCGTATTGTGACTAAAATGCAACACAAATGTAAGTTATCAAGGCCCCCGTTTAGTTTTTCAAGTGTCCTTCCCCCCTTTCCGGTTCACATAAGCGGGGCCTCGTTCGTCACTCAGTGGAAATTTCCCAGCCGCCAGTCGTTCACCCAGCACGTGCAAATGGCAATGCCGCTTTTTCCCTTAGTTGCTCCCACATTTTTGAAGATTACACCAAAACCGCTTAACACAGAAGCATGAAATTTTAAGGGAATAAAGAAAAATGGTGTACAACGTATCAGTCAGTTTGACAAATCACAGCTCCGAAAAATCTTTAAAGTGCACCTCATCAACCACTTTCGCAAACGTTTTCGACTGCTTCTAGGATGGGTACAATGTTGTCAAACTGCATACTACGAGATTGACCTATTTTCTGATTGGCTGCCAAGTTTCATTCATATCCATTCACGAGAAGCTGCGTGAGAGCGAGTTGAAGACAACAATCTTTGCGTTAGTGCGTCCCACGAAACACCCCCGCTGCGGGGGCCAAAAATCGGCAGAACAAAACGCGCTCGGTGGGCATTGCTATATTAAACTAACTGCTTTGTTATGAGTTCCCGTCCTCCATCTGTAGTAATTACACCAATAGGACACTCTGATTCGGGTTGTTTTACAAGAAGAAGAAAAACTTCCATTGTTCTGTTTCTTTTTTAAAAAATATATATAAAAATTTCTGATCATGAAATGATGTTTTTGCATGTTAGACTCCTGATATACAATGATTATCTACTTTTTTTCCTGATCATGATCAGTTAGTCAGTTTGAAATTTTGAACTAGAAAAATGTGCAAGTGTTAGGGGTGTAGAAAAGTCTGCAAATATACAGACTTTCCTCAGTTAAATCCATCTCCTCCCCCCGGCAACCGGACGAAAAGGAAGGCTAGCCTAGACAGAGATCTGAATCTACATAATGAATTGTGTGCTACTCAGGTGTAACACATTGCCGTATGCTAGGCCCTACATTGTGACACAACTTGTTGCTCACATTGCTATTAAAGGAAGTACGAACACTCGCAATCAACGAAATCGAAGGTCAAGCCCGACAACTTAGTAATCCAAGTTTCTTTTTTCTTCAGTTTTTACTCTGGCATTATTCGCATAGTGCTGAAGATTTTATTTTTGTTCATGTTTCACTACCTCTTTAACTGGGCATTTTTCAGGTCTACATGCGCTGGAGACAGGCATTTTTGGGGGTATTTCAATAACAACACCCTTCCCAAAGACAGACAACCACCATTTATACACACATAACTGCTCTTAACATGCCCAATAGGACACAAAAACAGAAAGGCAATATCTTTTATAGTTTTTTAGAAGTGATTTTTTAAAAAATGTGCTAAAATTTGTTGCTTGCCAAAATTTTTTTGTAATGTCTTGTGTAAAAAAGCCACAACAAAACACACAGAAAAATCAACCTTGTGTGTGTGTGTGTTTTGTGTTTCATAATGAATAAAAAGTCCAAACTTGTGAATAGGCAGGTAATCGATATGGTAGTCGTTTTATGTATTAGCTGTTCAATCCACTTCAGTGTGGAAAAAAAAAATTGGGGCTTCAGACAAAGCGGAATTTTGCATTTGAAAGCCTAGTCTAGATCTAGAACATTCTCTATGAGAATCAGTGCTTTGATGCTCATTTACATTGAAATCAGGATTCCCATGGTCTAAAATATCATAATCAGAATTTTCTGAACTGTCAAGGTCATCAAACGCTTGAAAAATGTTTGCTTTTCGTGCTACCAAGTGGGTGGTTGGCGGGTGCTTTGACGTGGTTTGCTCCTTCTTTCCTATCAAACATCTCTCGTTCTGACCTCTCCTCCTTTTTTTGTGTTTGTTACTCTCTTGTAACACAAAATTTTGGCATTTATTTGGCCTTATTTATTGAATTATTGTGTTGTAAGTGCTGAAAAACTCTTAGTGAAACTAAACGTGCTGCCATTGTATTGACGAAGTGTTGCGAGAACAGACTCCAGTCAGAGAAATAAAAGTAGGGCCTCAGTGTTACTGGCTTTCCTTCCGGCCCGATAACTCAAAAAGTTTCCTGCCAATCCCGGTGAAACTTCGCTTTTGAATGTTGGTGACCATTTTATTTGTGCTGAGCCGGTGGTTGGAGAGCGCCATTAGTAGGTTCTCCCCCCCCCCCCCGTTTTTTGTCCCTCTGTGTCTTTCTTTTCTTTGGTACGCCATGGCCATTATTATGACGATGAGCAACTATGACAACAAATTTCCTCGTTGGAATTTTTGTTGTTGAATGATGGAGGTTGATTTTCTTGATGCTGTTAGTTTGACTATTTTATATTTTAGATACTACTCTTACATAATTTGGTGATTGTTGCATGTCCAGGTTGTGCCAAAGAGAACCAACCGACCAGGCATCAGCTCAACCAACAGACGGCCACGGGGTCGGGGGGTGTCACGAGGGGGCAGGGGTCAGTACTATGGAGGATTCACACCAAGGGGACGCCGGCCATACGGGTAAGCTGTGCTGCCGGTCACTTAGCCGTAGAGTTGACAGGCAAGCCCTTAGAAAGTGTTTTTTTCTTCTTTTTTTTTTAGTCTTGAGGTTTTTCCGTGGTTTCTCTCCTCCTCTTTCTTCCCCCCCCCCCTCCCCCAAATCCCCAATCTATGATTTAAGGTTTTCCAAATCATTAACAAAAAAATTCACTGTTGGGGGGGGGTTGTATCTTGGTCTAGCATTTAAAGAATGGTGAGGTGCATGAGTGGCATTGCGTTTAAGTCTTTATATTTTTTGTGTTTACTCTCAGTGGTATCTCATTATATGAAAGCAGTGGTTCACAAATTGTCATTTTTTTCCCCCTTTAAATGAAATTTCTGTGTACGTATACTTAGTTTAGCCTGTTGTTTGATCATGCCATATTCGCTCTTTTGCAGGAGGTTTCGCAGAGCAGCATATTACAGCCCATATTGAGTAAAAAAAAAATTTAATAGTTACAAAGAGTCAATGATAGCGAAGGTACATTAAAAAGGACCGGTAATATTCTGAATTTGTAGGGGATAAATGTTATCTGTTCTGTAATAATTACTGTAAGCCCGAAAAGAGGTATCTGAAAAGCAGCCCCCCCTCCCACCTCTCCCCCAAAAAGATGTCATCATTTAACTCAAGTAACAAGGCACAGTACTGAAAATAGTCCTTTTTGTTCTTCTGTGAAGGAAACGGCATTAAAAGCAGTATTGTCTTTGATAAGATGTTGGTAAATTTAGCCAATGGAGTTTTGATTCCACACCTGAGTTGACAGTTGGTGGTTGTGAACAGGAAGCTTGTATTTTAAAACTATTTGTCAGAGTGGCTGTGCATAACATTTTGAGCAAGATTCCAGCGAGGCTTGAAATGTTTGCTAACCAGATTCCGTTCTCTTTCAGGCTTGCATCAGTACCCTAGGTGCAAAGCTTTTTTATTTATTTATTTTTTTTTGGTGATGATTGTTGTTCAATATTTATTCCATTTTTTTGGGTCTTTTCTTTTCTTTTTTTTTTCTTTTTTTTTTTGGCTGAGTTTTTAAGGAAAAAAGAAGTGTTTTCCTGTATGGAAAAAAAAAATTCCCCCACGCCTCTCACTCAAAATTAGTGGGTGAGTAGTATGCATTAAAAAAAAAGTATACTGTGAGAGAAAAAAAAAACTAGTGGGGAAAAAAAACTGAAGGAAAAAAGAGTTAGAGAAAAAAGAATGTGGAAAAAAGATAGAGAGAAGAAAATGTGGAATCAAAGTTTTGGAAGAAAAAAAAATAATTGCAATAAAAAAAAAAATTGAATAGTGGAGGGAAAGAGGGAAAACATCGTCAAGGACTGAAAAAAAAAGACTGCGGATGAAAAGAAAGCAATGGACAAAGTTGGAACAAGAGAGCTGAGGGTTGTCCAGAAAAGGTGAGAGGAGCGAATGTGAAACTGCCAAGTTTATTTGTTTGCCTGATTAATTTATGCAATGATTCATTTTCATGCTCATGTTTTTTGTTTTGTTTTGTTTTGTTGTTTTTTTGTTCATTGTCATGTATATGTAATCATTTAATAAATATGAATTAAAATTAAAGCATTGTTACTTTTTCTGTATGTGTGGAGTGCGTTCAGGGAAGGTTGGCGGGTGCTCTGGTGTGGTCTGCTTCTTCTTTCCTATCAAACATCTATCGTCCTTATCTCCCCTTCTTCTTTTTTATGTTTGTTACTCTCTTGTAGCACCTCTAATCTTCTGGCGCTCATATGACCTTATGCAGTTGGGAGTGCCGTGAAACCTCTACTAAAACTAAAATCAGGGAAGGTTGTGGTTGGAGGGCACACACTTCTGGTATGTCTTTCTTCTTTTCCTTTTCCTCCTGTCTTTTGTGACTAGACCTTTTCGCTTTTTTATTTCTCTCCATGCACTAAATGACAGTTGTCATACCGATGTGCTTTTATTTCCGCCTCAAGTGATTTGTTTGATATAATAACAGTCTAGCATGCACATAGCGCACAGATTTTCAGGTCCCAAATTTTTCCTTGTTGATGTTTTGGCCCCTATCCTGTTTGTTAAGGATATGTACGCCATGAAAGTTGTACGAACAAAAAAGTTTCGGGGACCCGTCAGTTTTGCCTTGTGTGTGCCAGACTGTTATTTCTTGGAGGAGGCTCTTGTGGTCTAGAAGTATGGTGTTCCCTTCCCAGTGAAAAGATCCCTGGATCGAAACCTGTCAGTTAAAAAATGTTCTCCTTTGTCCACCTTTCCTGTTCTCTAGTCTTCCTTTTTTGTCACCTGCTTTCCTCTTTTTCCCCCCTACCCCACCCCTCTTTGGCCCCCTCTCTACCTTTCTCTTACTCCTAACTCGTTGTATTGCTACTCCTTGCTGCGGTCTTTTAGCGACTCCTGATTTTAAGGTTGGTAAGATTGAACACCTTGTCTTCTCATTTATAAATACATGTTAGTATTCGGGCGAAAAACGGCAGAGGTCCTGTGTGCAAGTTGCTCACGTGAAAGATCCCTTAGTGGTCTAAAACCAAAGAATAAATATTATATCTAGGCTCTAGCTACTGTGTGGGCAAAATCAAAATTTAGTCCTTCAAAAAGTGAAAATACTCTAGTCAGTATGAAAAATACAGAGAGTATCTTTGAAATTTTGATAAGAATGTGGCTGCCTGAAGGCAATGGGCCCTGTGAAGTAGGTAGAACTTGTAAGAAAAGTTGCACTTCAGGTTGATGAACCAGCAATCGATTACGCTTGAGATCTAGCAGGGGAAGGCAAAGAGGACTGTCAACTGCTAATTGCAAAGACTTTTGCGTTATTTGTGGAAAATACAATGTGTAAGTTTCCCTGAATTTGAGTGAAGAGAATTGCAGGTACAGTCAAACCTCGTTTTACCACCATCCTTGGGATGGGCATGAAGTAGGTGGAACGGGGGGGGGGGGGGGGGGGGGGGGGGGGGACAGTGGTTCAACAGGGTACTTTTGCCCAAAGTCAAGGAACACGATTCTACTATGTAGTGTAGCCTAATTTGTGTTTGAAAAGTACAGTCGAACCTGTGTAAGACGGCCGTCTTGGGCAGGACTGATCAAGATAAAGAAAACAATCCATTCCCTTCTGAGGTCCCAACCGAAGGCAGCCGCATTGTATTGTTGTTTTCGTTGATTTTTGTTTGCTTTTTTTATTTTAGTGCTGACTTTGTGCAAGGGTGACAATAAAACGAAATGTGTCAGTACTGTCAGACAAGTAAAACCAAGTGCCATGTTAAAACAAACACATGGGTCGCCACCACTCGGAGAACGAGCGACGCTTCTGTGGCATGTTCATTCTGAGGTTCATTGTTACTTGTTACACACACTGGGTAAACAGTGACCACCCATCTCACTTTCGATGTACGAGTTCTGGACAGGCTTATAAACTTACATATATTTGGGTTATGAGGGATCGCACGCTTACCTCACCAGCAGCTGAAAATTTGCTACCTGTTGGTCAACAGTGGGGGCCAACGCATCATGATCGGTTGGAGGGACTCGGGGACTACCTAACAACAAATTATTACATTACAGGTGATTGGATTATGACGGCTCGCCCACAACGCCAGGGGCCGAAGCATAATTTATGACAAAACTATTGAAAGCACTAAGGTGGTCGTCTTAGACTGGTGTGATAGGGGTTGTGTGTTAAAATATAGTGGCCGCGTTGGACAGGTGGCCGTTATACACTGAAATTATTATACAGAAAAAACGGGGAGGGGGGGGGGGGAATCGAAACTGGCCGTCTTGTACTTATTACTAATTACAGAGGTGGCCGTCATTGCAGGTTTGACTGTTTCTTTTTGTGGGTAAGCATGTATTTAGAGCCACGAGTCTTCTCTTTCTGTTAATACAGTATGACATGGATAGCTTAAATTCATTGGGACTGGCCTCGGGATACATGTATCTTACAAAGATAGAGACAAAAAACCCCCAGGGACCTCGGGCACAGTTTGACGGTTGCGTGGTTTTGAGCCTTCTGTGTTCGACCTATCCATATTATAGTATTTTTATACTGTATTGTATGTCTTTCTCCTGGGAGAAAGATTTTCAAGTTGCCAATCAGTGGGTGTTGAACGCTGTGTGCAGTGTAGTGTAAACCTCTGGCGATCAGTTCGCTGACGTTATGACGTGGTAAATTTGTAAATAAGGACTGTACAACTCAGACAGTTGGCGGTGTGAAGGCGAAACTATTATGTGTGTCCGTTTTCATACCTTGGCAAAACCTAGTGGTTCAACTGGGGGCGGTACGAGGTTTGACTGTATTACAAGACCCATAGTTTTGATCCTCCGTCTGACGAAATTACCATTTTACGCAGTTTCTGACACTTTAGTGACCAGTGTCACAAAATGTGCTTGTATTTGTATAGTAACTTGTCAAAACCTCTCGCTATCTCTCTTCTTAGTGGGTTCTAGCAGTATAGTATTAATACTTATTAATCTAGACCTACGTAATATACAGTTGAAATTGTCCAAGTTGGCAACTCTTTGTCGAGGAGGAAAGTGGGTATCATAGGTGGAAGTTTATTATAGAATAACATGCAAGCTAAGATACACTCTTTGATGCAAGCAAGGGAGGAAGCGGCAAGTGGTCGTTTGTTAACCCTTCCAGCCTCAAGTGCGTATGTTTTGAGCAGCGCGCGTACCTCCCCCACCGTCCCAAGAGCGTATATTCTGTTTCAGGGGTACCGAATTCCCGCATTTTACTAAATTAGGGAACCTAATTATACTTTTAACTTTCATATTTTTTCATTTACCTTTAAACACTGTACTGTAATATGAGACTTAGACAGGTGAAGGTGCTTGGAAAAAATGCAGAGGGTAGTACATGTATAGTATAGTATAGTATAGTATTAGTAACACACGGCCCGGTACTTACATTTTTATGCATGTTTCAGTCAACTAAGAGTAAGACGAGTTGATGTAGTCGAGGGAGGGAAAAAAATTTCAACATGTCCGGAGTGTAAGACTTACTGTAACTTAACTGTTGGGACCTGTATAAAAGAAGAGGGGCTTGGACCTGAGAAAAAGATCAACTTAAAAAAAGATTAGTTCAAGCGAGTTCAACACAAGCGGAGTCAACTGTGCATAGATTCATAGATTGATTATGATGCTGCCATAAAAATACACTTTGGGTGGGTGGTTGGCGGGTGCTCTGGTCTTCTTCTCTATCAAATATCTATCGTCCTTATCTCCCCTCTTCTTTTTTTATGTTTGTTACTCTCTTGTAACACCTCTTATTTTATTTCTACTCATATGACTCATTTATGACTTTTGCAGTTGCGAGTCCTGTATCAGGTAAAACCTCTACTAAAACTTTTAAAAATAAGCTGGAAAGGCGGCAGAAGAAGGCAGCTGTCCTGTCCGATAAATAAACTATTCCATTTCCATGAACCATCATGACTGAAATTGAAACGCTAGACTGAAATGTTACCTTAATTACCATTATAATACATGTAATTCCTCATGAGCCTTACTTCAATAAATAATGCAAAAACCCCATTTTATTATTATTGTAAGCGACAAGCAAGATGGTCACATAAGCGTGGTTAGACCATGAGACGTTATCATGTTTACTTTTAGTTAGAAAGTGGGACTGTGAATGTAATGCAAGAACATGACACTGTGCTTTAATTTTTGTTTGCCTGTAATATTATTAGTAAGCTAGAAAAAAGATGCTCCTTCACAAGAGAAGTTCTTTTACAAATTCGAAAAAATTACATGAAAAGACAAATGGAGTTTAATTATTTTTTAAAATAATAGCAAGGTCTAACTCCAAGGGAATGAAAAGTTATTCTCTTAAAAAGATTTTTTAAAATGGACAGCCTATTGCTGCACACCTATGAAACTAACCAGACTTTCTTGCACTGCTGACAACGAACTTGAAAAACCAGAAAAGTACAATGTTATATAATTACCGGTATGTATCCTCCTTGATCAAGTAGGTTACTATACAAACACATCTTACAATGTTGTATTTGTAAAATTAATGTGCATCATTCATGAAGTCCAGGCACTGAAAGCTTCAATTTTTACTTAGATTTATTCAGAGTAGGGCTCATTGATCTAATTTTGGCTTCAACTTCACTTTCGGATGATAAAAAAACTACATAGTTGAGTAACTTCAGTCAAACTGGATGAACTGGTTTCAGTTTCATCGAGTCTTTGTCATGTAAAATGTACTTCACAATGAAGCATGAATGCAATCACAACAGGCTATAAAACTGAGAAGCTTATTATTTATCAAAAATTAAAAAAACAATTTTGGCAAGTGTTTTACGATGCTTGCAACTCTTCTTGAGGTCATGTGAGCATGCGGGACACTGAGCATTTTCAGTTTGGCAGGAATTAATTTTGAATTTTGTCTGGGTGGCGCCTGAAGCCTACTCTTATGGATTTTTTTAGGACCATCAATGGATCTTTAATGTAGTATACAACTTGCACACGGGACCTCCCAGATTTTTTCGCCTTTATATCTGAGAAGGATAGGCATTCAATCTTACCTACCCTAAGATCAGGGGTGTGGATGAAAGACAGCAGTACATCATATGTACATGTAGTAAGAA